AAAAAAAAAAAAATCTTAATTAGAAACTAAGCATATCAAAACTTTACTCTCATTTGCTCACTGCGGATTTTATAACGATGTATGTATGCAGTTGGTTAGATCAGGGCATAGAAACAATCACCATCACAATTCATCTATTTATCAAGCTACCGGGTAGAAAGAACTTGCAAATAAGGTTCAATAGATATGCTTCAAATTCAAACACAACTAGAACTAAAAATGCTACTCCAATGTATTAGGTTCATGATTTTTTATTTGCATTATTTTCATCATATTTTTTGGATACAAGGCTTACCATACTTATATATGAACCTTGATAATAACCGATTCTTCGTACTGGCTCGATTTTTGCAAGTCATAATTTACTTGCTTAAAATGGCCTCCAATCAAATAAAAAAAACGCTGATAGTTGTTGAGTCCTAATCGGTTAAAGATAAATATTTGGTTAAAAGTTTTTGTGTGTTAAAAATCAATTAATAACAATTGCCACTCTAAATAGTTGTGTTTTCTATCAGCTACCAAGTAGTCGTTGGTCCAAAGGTGTTTAGAAGCTGTTACGAGGATCAATCTCTTTTGGGTTATTGCGCTTTACAGATGCCACAGAAGGCTTGGAAAATTTTCTATTAAACTTATAATATGACATTTTAACCTTTTTATTTTATAAAATTGATAAGTTTTAAGCTTTTACTTTATAAAATTAATAAGTTTTAACCTCTTACTTTATACTATAATACTTTTAGCCCATTATTTATACAAATTGAAGAAAATAACTCTCATTTAATATTAGGTTATAATATTATATTAGTTGACTATCAGTTCTGTTAACTGACTATTAGCATCTGTTAGCATTTCGTTAATGAAACTAACAAATAAAATTGATTTTAAATTTCATGTTTTTTATAACGAAATACTAACAGATATTAACAATCAACTAACAAAACCAACAGAATGTTATAACCTAATATTATGTGGGAGTTATTTTCTTCAATTCGTATAGGTGAGGGATTAAAAATGTCATAAAATAAGGTGAGTGGTTAAAATTTACCAATTTTATAAAGTGAAGAGTTAAAACCTACCAAATTTATAAGATAAATGGTTAAAAGTGTTATATTATAAGATGAAAGACTAAAACCTAAGAATTTTGTAAAGTAAATGGCTAAATGTTGGTTTTTGCCCTGGAATGATGGGTAGAATTTTTTTTTGTCAAAAAAAAAAATCAACATTTCTTTCAAAAAAATATTTTTATCTAGTTCAAATTGTATAATTTAGATTGTTTGTAAAAACTGTCATTTCGTCTGATTAATAATTTTTGTTTGGACTCCATTTAACTTATATTATAAATACATATAAAAAATATAAAAATTATTACTGATTTTCATATTGGTGTTAAGTAAATAATTTAGATATACAGTTAATAAAATAAAAATTAATTTTTATCTTTTTAATGTCAATTTATAATAAAAAATATATTTATTATATTTTTAATTCAAACATATTAAAAAAACCATTCTTGTCCTGCAACTCGAAATTGGACTGAAAAAGAAGATCGTATTTCTTAAATTTACACCTGGCCGACCGTTGCCCCAGAAGATGGATTCATCCATTTCCATGGCTTTACCCAGAAAGGGAAGGTTCTGTCTGATATTTTCGACCGTTAACACAAAGTATTATTTGTGGCCACTGGATGCTCCAAACGGATCTCGCAGTGGACCCCACCAGATTTTTCTCTCTCCTCAATCCTCACCGTTTACATTGGCCATGTTCAATTACCAAAATATCCTTATACATTATTCACTAATAAGCCAACCTTTCACATCTTCCTTGAATAATGAATATCAGCCATATAATTTTGTGTGCTATTTAATGGTTCAATCAAGCGTAGATTATCATACTTCAATTGGCAAAGAAGGAAAAAAAAAAAAAAAGTTCAATGATTCATATTGAAACTAAAAGATTTACAATAAATTATTCTAAAAAAATGTTCTTTTAATGTCAAATATTATTGTGATAGATGAAATACTTTTATGTATATACACATTAAAATTTTATTTAAAAATACTTTACACAATAATTTTTTCCTTCGGTACTATATTTAAAATTATAAATTTATTATAAATAGATAATTTTTATTAAAAATTTATTAATTTTTTGTAATATTAATTTATATATTTTTGCAATAAAAAAAGAAAAAGAAAAAACTTTTAAAGTCACATTCCAATAAAGCACTTCTAAACTAGACCTAAATCCATTTCTCCTCGGATGTAATAGTTAGAGTCTAGACATTATTTTATATATATATAGTAAAATCTTGAATAATAATGATGAATTTGAAAAAAAAAAACTAATTAATAAAGAGTCAAAGAATACTAATACATGTATATCCTAAATTGTTGGATTAGAAAAACCAACCAGTGATAAATAATTTAAGTTAGTGTTATTTGTATGTGTGGATTATGATTCTTCAAAAAATTATTTAATATTAGGTTTTTTATTTTAAGTTGTAGAGTAAAAGGTAACTTTTTTTCATTTTTTTCTCTTTTTACTAATATGTATATAACTTAAATTTAAAATCTCACACTATAATTAAAATTAAAAGAGAGATTACCACTAAGCTTGGTTAGTTTGTTATTGGTATTTTTAAAAAATTAAAAGAAAAAAGAAAGAAAGAAGAGCCAATGGGCAGTTCTGTAAATTCAGGAGTTTGAAAATCCTGTTGGGAGAGGCAATTGAATTTGGGTGGCAAAGAGGGAAACGCAACGTGGTCAGATTATCGCACGTGTTTGATTCCCATTGGATAGCCCTCAACTCTCTGCAGCAGAAAAAGACAAATAACTGAGAAACGCATTCTTTGTGGTCTACTAAGTACTAAGTGCCGGAGCAAGACAAAAAAGAAACGCTCCTCCGTCTTCTATCTCCCTCTCTCTCTCCGACGAAGCCCCTCTGTTTCAGGTACTCTCTCTCTTTTTACAAATCTAAGTAAATCCTTTTTTTTTTTTTATCAGAAGCTAGCTGTTCGGTGGTTTGAATTCAGACCTTAACGACGAATCAATGTTTTGAAGATTAGTGGTTATTATCTCGGCCAATCTCTTATTGGTTCGGAGTGGTCATAACTAGTACCGCTGCTTTCCTTTTTTTATTCTCCTATTTTGGGCTCTCCCCGGTGATCGGTGTTCTTGAATCTTGAAGAAGATTACGGTAACTCTGTCCCGGTTAGAGAAGTATGGAATTGGAAGGAGAGTAATTGCGGTAAATCTGTTTTTGGTGGGTTTTTCTTTTCCGGCGAGTTTGAAAATTGAAATGTCCGCCTCTCTGTTTCAAACTGGAATGGAAATGACTTACTAGCCCTCACAGAATGTTGGTTTTTGCTGGGATTGCTGGATTCATAATTCTTTCTGTGGTCATTTTGGTTTGAAATTTTACAATTTCTTTGCTTTTTGGTTCTTGATTTCTGGGTTTGTGGAATTCAGTAGCAAAAGTGTGAGCTTTGATTTTGGGTTTGTGTGAAGGTAAGGAGAGCACAGAGAGATGGAGTTGGTGAAGAAGATGGAAACATCACACTGGTGGTGGTTGGAGAGTCAAAGCGCTTCTAAGCGCTCTCCGTGGCTTCAATCCACTCTTTCAGGTAATTCTTCCCACATCCCCTGGTCTTCATTCGTTGTTCCTGGAATTAGAACTAAAAAAGTAATTGAATCTGAATAATCTTGATGAATCTTGTAATGTTTCTTGAATGTTGGGGAACCAGCGTTTTCACTGTTTGAAAGTTGAAACTCTTGAATTAAATGCTTTTCTTAGAGTGTCACTTTATAGAAATGTGGAATGATTTCACTTGGAACTTGCAAATTAAACTAGTAACAACCTGCAGTGTTATTGCCTCTTAATGCAAAGCATTTAGACATTGTTGAGGCTGGTTATTACTGCCCTGATTAGTGATTCACCATCTTATGAGGGGAAGCCAAGATTTTCTGGTCTTGGAGCTAGCTGAATAATGGATCAATAACCATGCATCAGCGCTAATTTATTCTGCCAAGTCGCTTGCTTATTTTTAAATACTGTTATTGGATAACTATATCGGGATGGTTCTGTGCATAGTGGCGTGGTTGTTTCGTTCTTGGGGAACTTGGGATGTCTTTATATTTCCCTCAAAAACAATTTCCATTCATCCCATGATTATGAATTGGACAGTAACTGTAGTTACCCGTTATATCCATAAAATCTTTAAGTCCATTGAAGGTTGGAATCAGTCTTAGGTTCTGGATAGTGAAAATTAGAGCCTTGATGAGGGTTGGCTGGTTGAATAATAGCCATAAATTGTGCAGAAGATCATCCTGATTCCCGAGGATGGAAGGGGTCTAGAAACATGCTGAACAGGGAGACCGGGATGAGCAAAGCTGGCGTTGTAATAAATTTTATGGTGATTACTGCATTAGAATGAAAAGGAATAGAGTAAAAATGGTTATATATACGGTCTGTGGTGGGTAAGTTGGAATAGTGCTGTAAATTGTAATAGCCATTACTCCCTCCTTCTTGTTTATGTATTAGCTAGCTATTGCAAAATTCTTCCAACTTATACAAATATTTTAGAAAATTTCATCTACTCCAAATCACTGTGAAATCTATTCTATTCTTATTACTTTACATTCTCTTGCAATACCCAGGTAATTATCATTCCAATGTACCAAACATAACTTAATGGTATAATCAGACGTGGCCTTCATAACACTGATTCTAATCCTAAATCTATAGTCCTGAGATATAACTATTAGGAAGAGCCTTTGAACTTCCAATCATCATTTTAAGCCTCTAAAGAAACTCTTTATGACCTCTTAATGACAAAATAATGAACTGGACCCATATGCAATCTGGCTCTAACCAAAAACTTAACAATTCTAGAGCAAGAAATGTGTATTCTACAAAAGTGGGTAGGGTCCTGGAGTCATTACCTGATTATTTTTTACCAAAAATAGGGACAATAATAAATTTTTCAGTGCTTTCGTTTTCTTGCTTTGTTTCTGGGGCTGAAATCGTGAAGTTTATTTTGGTTACAATTTAGGAGACCGTGTTGGGTAAAAAAACAAGGTAATATTAGGAACTGTCTTTATGTTTGTTATAATAGGAAAACTCTTTTTAACTTATTTTCACATCTATATCATTAAGTTGTTAACCTATGCATTTGATTGAATGATGGCATGGTTTATATGACTGCATCCCTACTTTCTAAATTACAGAGCTAGACAGGAAGACGAAGGCAATGTTGAAATTGATTGAGGAAGATGCAGATTCCTTTGCCCAACGTGCGGAAATGTATTACAAGAAGCGACCAGAGCTGATTACCATGGTTGAAGATTTTTATCGAGCCCACCGCTCATTGGCTGAGCGGCATGATCAAATGAAATCAGATGGTGGAACTCGTTTCTTAACAACACTGGGGTTCCCTTTCTCTCCAATCAAATACCCCTCAGAGAAATCAACAGCTACGATGGACCAAACCTCTGACAGTTGCTCTGAGACTTTTGATGCTGAGGACGATGCTGAATCTGAAGTTGAGGATCCTGAAGAGGATGAGAGATATGAGAGAACTCAAATCAACACAGGAAGAAAACAGCTAGAGAATCCGGTGAAGGGAGGAGAGGAAAACCAAACTCACATAGTAACGGAAGGGGTTGGAGATACTGAAGAGGAAGATGGAACTGTACTTGATCAAGAAACAGAAGTAATTTCAAGTGAGGAGTGCAATGCTGAGTTGATGAAGTTGAGGGAAGAAGTGGAGAGACTAAAGGAAGAGAACAAGTTTCAGAAGGCTGAACTGATGGAGAAAGATAAAGAGAAGAGCAGAGTTTTGAGTGAGCTCTGCAACAGTGAGGTAATGAAGTTGAGGATAGAAGTAGAGAGACTGAAGGAAGAAAACAAAGTTCAGAAGGTGCAACTGATGGAGAAAGATGAAGAGAAGAGCAAAGTTTTGATTGATCTCAGCAATGTTGAAGTAATGAAGTTGAGGGAAGAAGTAGAGAGACTGAAGGAAGTGGACCAGATTCAGAAGGCTCAACTGATGCAGAAAGATGAGGAGAAGAGAGAGGTGATTAGGCAGCTCAGTTTGGCTATTCAAGTGCTCAAGGATCAGAACATGGATCTGAGGAAGTGTGTCACTAGAGACTCCCCCAAGAAATGGAACCCCTTTGACCTGAGCAAATTGAATGGAGGGTTCTTCGGGAAGTTATTAAATGGATCACCAAAGTTTCAGGCCACTGTTGTAGCTCTTTAGATGTAGGTTACAGGAAAGCAAGCAAGTAGATTGACCAGTAGAATACAGCATTCAGACTTGTATTTGTGGTATTGTATATCTCAGAACTCGATTTATGTAGTGTTTATCTTCAAAAATAGATATAATTAATTGTTGCAGGTAATCTTGCATCTCTCTATGTAATAAAGGAAGTTTTCAATTAATTAATTTTATTTT